AGAGAGAAAGAGAGAAAGAGAGAAAGAGAGAAAGAGAGAAAGAGAGAAAGAGAGAGAGACTATGCCACTACCAGAAAATAAGTCCCTTTGAGTAGCTCAGATTAATGTAAGATTTCACAACCATGCTATAAACCTTCCTGAAACTATAAGGAAGAAAAAAAAAAACCACACCATGCAAATGTGATGTGTGGTCATAAGTGCCATTCCACTGGATCTAGCTCTGCCTACACATTCACACACCTTGGTTAACATAGCACAGATACTTTCTTCCACACTTCCCCCCCTTATTTCTACCACCAAATGGATGTTTCTCAAAGAACCAGTCTCCCCCAGAAGTCCACTCCAAATAAGTAGAGACAGCCACAGAAAGTTCTACCTTCCATTCTCCGATCTTCAAAAAGCACAGTCAAAACCACCACTGACAAAGCACAATCACAACAGAAGTTTCAGAGAATAGAGTTTTATGATATTCCTAATGCAACAGCCCACTGTCTGTTCTCTTCCTTCTGACAAGCACAAGGATAACAGCAGCTCTGATGTAAAGGCTGTTTCAGTAGCTATTCACTCTGAGTATTTACAGAAACCATTCGAAAACAATCTTTTGCAGTAGGCAAGTGGTCCAGTAAACCATAAAAGGTGTCCATAATATGTCCATTAAACTTTTGGTGCTGTAAAAACACTTCATTGCGCTATTAAGACAAGGAGGATGATCACCTTTCATAGATAGTTTCTGATTGCATACAGCTCATTCCACAACTCCCTCCACAAAGTAACAGGGGAGACAGATATTAATGGACACTGGTGAGCAGATTCAAGCTGTCCACAGACATCTGGAGTTCCCTGCAATTTCTGATGCAGTTCCACAACACACCAAAGCTACAACTACCTGCTTCTGGACAATTATGGTGCCAACAATTCCTGTTGTTAACACCATGGCTTCACCAACTTTGCAGCTACGGGTTGGCAGGGATGCCACCAGGGTGCTTGGTGCACCGTGGCCATGATATGCTGCAACATCCCACTAGCACCAGCCTCAGCATCCTCAGCATAGCTGCCAGAGTGATACCAGCTCTCCTTACATCAACAAAGCTGTACTCGTACATTACAGCTGGAGTTTTAAGCACTTTACGTGGAGTGTCACTTACCTGAGCAGCAGCCTGTCTGCTCTGGAGTTGCTACTATTGTTAACACTGACAAAGATCAAAAGCTTTTAGCAATCAGAGATTTCTCAAGAAATGCTTTAACAATATTTCCCCAATATATGACAGGCTTCTGCAGCTTTCTACATCATGTTAGCAGTTAACAGACCTAGCACCAGTCAACACTATGTTTTGGAGTCCACTGCATAATGCCAGAGATGTCCACAGGCTTTGTAGCTTTGCCTCCTGTCAAAATCACATCTGTCTGGGGCAAAAAGACATCAGGATTGCAGCCAGAGGCAATCTCCCCTACTCCTCTGGGTTTATTTTTTCTAAAACATAAATAGTGACATCAGCATGAACAACAACTACAGGTAATAAAAAAAAAAAAAAGAAAGAAAACAATGGATAGGAATACAAGACTGAAGAGAATTGAGTTTGTTCTTCAATATGCAGTGACACCACACTGTTTAAGCAGAAGCCTTGGAAGAAATAAGTTACCTATCAGCTCAGAATGGAGGAGAAAAACAAAAAAAGCAAGTGCTTTTTCGTTTCATTTTGGCATCCCCTCGCCAAGCTTCTAGAATGAAAGGTATGAAACAGTCCTCAGGCATAACACCTCAGGCTGCAATCCTGTCCGTTTTCATAAGCTAAATGAGGCTGGGCTGGGTCAGCACAGGACAGACCTCCTCCAAAGAGGACCGTCGCTACTGGGTGTGCTGGGTGGGAACACCATACCCCAGGTCTGGCAGGAGTGCTGGGGGAAACCCACATACCTTCCTTCATCTAACCTCAGCTGACCAGTGACCCGGCCTCCCACTCATCCCAGATGAGCAGTGTCTCAAGGCTCCCCTAAGCATCACTGCCGTCCAGCATCAGTTTTCTTTCACAACCACCACCACCAGCTGCTCTCTCACCTGCACAAGCCCTCCCACAGCCTTCTAACACCCGGCTCTCCCACCCTGGCAGGGTGAAGCACACACGACCACAGCCACAGCCCTCGCGTGCAGGTTACTAAGGCTGTGCTGAACCTTTCCTTCCTCCGCTTTTAGACCCACCTTGGGCACATTACACACATCACTATCTCTAGTGACCCAGCATGATGCCTCCACGTGCTGCTTTCCTAGCTGTTAAACGTCAGCTCGTCAGCACAGCAATGATTCTTCTGAGGAGGAAGGCACTTCAAAGAAAGTCTACAAGCAAAGACAGCGTGCACACCATGCTCCAGGAGGCTACATGATCGTATCAAAGCTGCCGGGATGAAAAACTGACATTTGTTAAATAATGGGAGGTCACCTAGAAGATCTCAAAACACTGCATGCAAAAATCTTATTTTGACAAGAAATTAAGAAACTCTATAATCAGGCCTTATTATCTAACCTACTGCCTTGACGTGATTTATAAAAGCACAAAGTGCATGCAACTCCAACCGCCGCAGAATCCTCCCTCATTCAACCAACATGTATACATTTAATACTATCCTAAATAGCCACGCATGTACAGCAAAGCCTAAAAAACTTCAAAGTATTTACAGCGCTGTATAAACAGAGTGCTATTCTCAAAGCCTTGCAACTGTCAAATCAAAGCTACCTTTCACAAGAACATTCAGAAGCATTTCTCCTGGATGGTGGCTATTTGCCTGACAGTTTCAACTTTCAATCCCCAACCACAAGAAGGTTAAGGGCTTTTTTTTTTTTTTTTTTTTTTTTTTTTTTTTTTTTGAGGCAGAAGAGAGCATTTTCTTGCTAACAAGCTGTCAAGCCATTTCAGCCTGAAATTCTTCACTCCCTTCTCATTCATACACATAAAATGCTGCAGAAAATTTCAATTCTGTTTGCACGGATTCTGAGAAGAGCTCCTGCACATCGAGGATGGCCTCAACTCTACTGCAACAGCTCCAATTGCAGAAGCTGCAGCTGCCCTTCTTTGACAGGCTACAGCTTATATTACACTGCAAATACACCTCTAATCAATCCCCAAACAAAACCAGATCAGTATGTAGATAAACCACTGCAATTCTGTAGGCAAAGAAACAGCCGTATCGAGATGCCTGAAGAAGTCACTTTAGCAAAATGCAGAGGGTAGAGCTAAAGAGTAAGCTAAAGAAGAGTCCATGCTTGACCTTACCCATGGTTTTCAGCAGTGAGCTACCAAAAGAGAATATTCCATCATATTCTGCACCAATCCATACACACCACATAGGTGGCAAAAACTCTTTCGTGAGCCGTACTCAAGTAGAAATGCAGATCTAAAGCATTTTGTGGAGCGGAAGTAACACAGTCTAGTCAATAAATCACAGGCATATTAAGAGGCTGGTTTTCTTCTCAAGTTCACCACAAGATCCAACCTCACCTGGCTTTGAAAGGTATCATAGGTAAAACAGGTACCTGCAACCTCTGTTCCAGAAGTACAAAGGGCACTTGGGGACCATGCAGTGACAAGATGGACAAATGTTGCTGAGCTCTCCAACTCTGCTGATGCACACAGGCATCCCTCTACCAAGGTAAGCAGCAGGAATATAGTGGCACTCCTTTCTTAAAAGGCCCAACAGTCAGACAAACTGGACAGCCAGCTCAGAGGAGCTGCTCATGTTCCTGAATCACAACTACTCCGACCTGAATACAGAAGGAAGCAAACACTCCTTCCATTCCGTATGCAGTTAAATTATCACATATATCACACTCTCTTTTGGCCACAGGTTGCCAAAAATCTCTAAGGAGCACTTAAAATCACTATTGTTTTCGAGACTGAGGCACCCGATTCTCAATGATTCTCAGTGAACTCTCAGAGGACATTGCTCCAGCACCTCTCAGCCTTGCTTTGTTGAGATAAATTGTGTCACATGTAAAGCATACTTGCCATTCTCTCTCCTTCAAAAGCATTTCATTGATTCCAACCAGGCTTCAGAAACAAGCACACAAACAAACCAGCCACCTTACAGTGACACTTCTCATCTCCGTTCCCTATTCCACAAGCTCCTTCTTCGAGGCCAAGCAAGGAACAGCACATCTCTGATTTTAAGTCTCTCTGAAAAACAAGGGATCTTGGAGCATGTTCAGCTACCTGAAACAGATAAGACTCATTCTTAAAATACAGTAGACTGCAATTTCCTAACAGCCTTTAAAATGAATTTAGCGAGTGTCATCAAAGAAGAAAAAAAACAAAGCTCTGGGGAACAACTCACAGAAACAGGAGTGAAGCAAACATAACTCAGGGAGCAGCAGGTCACTTTCCACCATGGTCACGGTTTAGAATCTCAGACCAGATTTCAGGAGGGTCACCAAGATAAAACCAGAACCCATGCAATTTACAGGCACATCTCCAATTCTGGTACCAATCAAAGTTTCCAGAGAAGCGTGCAAGACCGCCATGGTAAAAGCAGGCAAAACAACCCCTGCCCTCCCCCTCTTTTCCCAATATAGAAGCACATCTGTTAGAGCAGAATAAAATCAAGGTTTAGACCACAGGCTTAATACTTCTTCCAAAATTTTTACTGTCACTGATTATGATAATTGAATATTCTTCATATTCCTACAGACATCTGATCCTTTTAACTCTTGTTGAATTCTTGCTCCTGATGATTCTCACAGCGTGAGTTTCGCTGCTTAATTGCAACCACGCTAAATATTCTATCAGCAATTTACACTACATGTTCTGTATCATCAGACGGCCATGAAGCAGCAGAAAATTCTCCATAGCTCAACAGCCACGCTTCCCTTTTTGCCCCCACTAACACTTAACCGTGGCTTCTCTTTTCATACGCAGCACACACGTTTGGGGATGAGAAACACTTTTGGCAGAAAGGATGAGCTGAAGGAATCATTCTCAGGCAAGAGAAGCTGTAACAAATAGGTGTAAATAACATTTAGCAAGTTTAGCAGACTCTTAGGGGTACAGTTAGGTGAGCGTTCCTTTTGGCAGCAATGCCAGCTGAAAAGACTGCAGCTACCAAGATTGACTTCCACCCCTGCACCACGCTGTCTGATGTGCCAGTACCACCGCATGCCTGGCCAAACACCAAACTACTTTGGCAAACTGATCCAGGCTAAATATAACTTTTTTTTTTTTTTTTTTTGGCCAGGCTACTTATAGCCCTTGATTGGTCCCTTGATCCATTTCAGCATCCAGCTGCTCAGGCAGCACTGGCACGAAGGAAGGACTGGTGCAGGGTCCAGCAGCCAGGCTCCTCAAAAGCCAGCTGTGCCAGAGAAAGAACCGCTCACAGGCATGTGAACAGCAGGTAGACAGGCCTAAAGGCAAGAATGCAGACAGAAAATGCAACCCCATTTCTGAAAAAAAAAAATATGAACGATGCTCGTCTTAAAGACAATATTGAGACAGTTAATTTGGATTCAGCACACCTTTAAATATCATCTCATGTCTTGCTGTTGCTACAGAGTTAGCCAGTGTTTGTAAGATGTCCTGGTCTTAAAGGAAACTTCCAAATTCTCCCAACAGATGTGTTTGGAGGTTTTTTTTTGCTCCAATTAGTCAAGATCTGCAATCCCAAACTCTGTGCTTGCACAGTCCTGCCAAAATGAATATCCAGTTCCAAAAGAATTAAAACAGAAGAAGAAAAACATAACAAGACAAGCAAAGGTACGGGGAAAGGCATTCTAAACGACAGGCACAGCAGTACTCAGACCAAAGGAAAAAAAGAAAAAAAAAAACAGCAAAAAAAACCTCCTTCCATTCACAAAATGCACTCAAAACCTGAGTTAACACCTTCATTTTGCCAGCAGGAAGACTAGAGGGACTCCAGCTGAGCTTGTAAGCAGGAAATCCTAGCCCACAGCAAATCTTGCTGGGTTAAAGGACTTGATATCTATGTAAACAGACCACAGACCTTACCGAGGCACCGAGATTTCTGTGAAGTCCAAGGCCATGCAAACTAGATAGCAGGATTTTATGAAGGCTGCCTGCCTTGCTCTGAAGAAATCCTGGTAAACTTCTAGAAAGTGGGAGAGATCAAATCCTGCTGGGTAACATAGTTGACATTTAGGATGTGAATGAGTTTGAATACTCATTTGAGCATCGGTTTCTCCCTAAGATAAAGATAAGGAATTTGTTGTTTGGGTGTTTTTTTTTTTTTTCCACTGAATTTATAAAAGACCAACTCTAAAGCCACACACACAGTTTGCAAGGCAACAGAACTGCCTAGTGTGTTAGGAACTCAAGAAGAAACAGAAATCTAGAAAAAAATCCAGTAGAAATAATGGAAATTCAACATATTACAGAGCAGTAAGTCTTTGAACGGCTAGAAATGGACTAAAGGTTACTCCATTCTTATCCACCTCGTACGTACAAATCACCCACAAAAAAACCATTGCACATGAATATTTTAGCCTTGTGGCTTATAGGTGCCTCAGTTTCTGTATTTGGATATTCAGTGACAAATGCAGTTCCTTTGGCTGTGGACTAACTGAAAATACTCCAAGTACGTGAACTGGGAAGGCTCAATGCAAGATGGGGAGGGAGGGAAGCGTGGGGAAGAGTCCACATTCTTTGTATTCATAATATACAGAACAGGTCTACAAAGTTTCTGGTTGTATGAACAGAAACCTATTTATTTTCTTCCACATTAAAATTCAGGTCCTGCCTAGAAGACCGTGTTGACCGACAAACAAGTGAACCGATCACAAGAGCCAAAAGAAAAGCATCTTCCCCAAACCTCACAAAAGCTCCAAAAGACACCATGCACGCACCCTTCCCCCGCAAGAAAATGGTTACAACTGCATTGTCATATCCCTGCTATTTCCCTCGCATCACAGCAGAGCACATCTTATCTCAAAACAATTCTATGGCATCTACGAAGCAAATGATTTGCCTCGGAAAGAAAAAGATACATACCGGGAAGTCAGAAACATAACTTTTACCACACGCTGTCAAAACACGTGCATGTACGCATAGATAAAGCACACCCCCAAAAGAATTGCTAACACTAACCTGACCAAAGACTGAGCAACTGAATAGGAAGGGGGGGGGGAACTTAGACAAAAACTTGTTTAGGGTTTTTTTTTAGTTGGTTTTGTTCACACTTATTTAACGTCAATGATTGATTAACATTTTGGATAAAGGAGGTCTTTGTTAATGCTTCAGCATCTCCACCCCTTCAATTAAGGTGTTAAGAGTTCACAACAGTGCAGTGAGATCCAAGATCCCAAGACCCCTTTGCCACAAAAAAAAAAAAAAAAGACTGGAAAAACCACCATCAAAAGCCCCACCTCAATGGGAAAATTCCCAGATCCCAAAACTGCCACCCTTGCTAACTCTAACTTAAAATACAAATGCTGTCTTTCTTTTGTTGTTTGAGGAGCAGCCAGCAAGGGGAGAAAAATATGAGCCCTTGAGCTATTCTTATGCTCTGAGTTAGAAAAAAGGTCACATTCATTGCAAATAATCTTTCTTGGAGATCGGTGCTAAGTGAAAACAAAAACAAAAGAACCAAAACAGAGCCATTACACCAATGGTGTGATATCACACCGACTGTAATATCTCACTGGAGCAGCTCCTATGATTTCCAACAGAAAGCTGATCAAGCTGCTGTGGTATTCGGACACGTGCACTCGTGCTGGATGAAGGCACAGCAGCCGCCTGCCAGCCCTTACACGGCTCCACCAGCCCCACACCTGTAGCACCAAGTCACTGCAAACAGGCCTTACAGCCCTAATATACAGCTGGAGAGAGGTGAACAGAAAGAAGACAGGACTAAAGCTCTTTAGGTATGTCACTTCTTTCATTCCATACCCTGTGGGTTGTTTGTTTTTTCTTTTTATTTGATTTCACATAGCGCATTGCTTAGCTTCCCAATACTTGCTTTTGTAACGTGTTGAGCAATCACTGACTGAATGTTAACTTCCAACAAAATAGAAGAAAATAAGCTTCACTTCTTTTCCTGGTTTTAAAGGTTGATGCATTTAAGGATGCTTCACCACTCCTAGAGTGTATGTGTGGGCTTTTCATGGAGAAATCCAGGACAAAATACTTACAAAGGAAAATAAAAACATTGCTGGAACCCCTCAAAACTGGAAGAGCTGTTTTCTCCGCTTCCTCTAAATCTATTTCGGCAGCAGAGTAGCCTGTCATCCACAAGGCTTGGTGAGACAAACCTGACTTGATACAGCCTCCTCTCCTCAGCCCCAAGTCAGTGAGGTTAAAACTGCCCCAACCAAGGAGAAGCTGCTGCTTTCCAAGGTGAGTGCTAGAGACCTGCTGCTCCTCTCGCAGAAGGCAACAGTCTTGTTCTGACTGCAAGCAAGGTCTGGCATCTAGAGAATAAAAGCATCTTCCCTTTCATGCTGGCAGGCTTAGAATTGTTCCACAATCAACTCCCTACTTTCACTTATTAGTTGATACTTCTCTTTGCTTCATGCCAATTTCCTAACCAATTGCTCATTCTGTTTAGTGCTAAGCCACCACTAACCACCTAACTATACCACCTTCATGTTTTGTGCCCAAACAGTAACCCACAGTTGACTGTCACATCTGATTCTCCCCACCTGTGTCCTGTGTCATGCTTTGTCTACTCTCTCAGAACACCATACATCTCCCACATCCCAAATGTTCAGCCATCATGCAGTACATGACAGCCTCAGGTAGAAGGTTGGACCACACAGAAGAACAGGACACTCTTTCATCCCAGAAGTGGAGCCTCACTGCTTGCACGTACCTACCTGTCCCATCATTTCCCTTACCATCTGGACTCTACAGCATTCTTGAACAGGCTGCCTAGAGAAGCTGTGGATGCCCCATCCCTGGAGGCACTCAGTGCCAGGTTGGATGGGGCCCTGGGCAGCCTGAGCTGGTGGGAGGCAACTCTGTCGATGACAGGGGGTTGGAACTGAGTGGGCTTTAAGGTCCCTTCCAACCCAAGCCATTCTCTGATTCTTCCCATCATACAACCCTGAACAATCTCATGAACTTGCCGCATCTCTTCAGAAGCCTCCCTCGCTCTGCTGACAGCCCCTGCTAGTCCTCTGCAGTAGGTCAGGGCACAAGCTCCCTATCTCGCACACGTGTGCGGTGTCTAGTAGAAACTTACAAACACACCGTTTCATCTGCCTTCAGATAATTCTGCCCACGATCCTTACATATAGGACCACATTTCTGGTATCCTAGACTCCCCTCGTGCAACTACTTCACAAAGAACCCCACACTGCACGCTCAGCTTCTCTGTGCTCTTTTACCCCTGAACTGCACGTGCTGCTCCCCAGCTCCAGACACCCTGGCAGACACAGGTCCCTCCTGCCGAAAGCCCTTCATAACCCATTCCCTGACTCCCAGTGCTTCCCCACAACTTGGCCTCCACCTTCCAGCCACTCCAGCCCCAGCTCCTCGCACCCTCCCCTGGCTACATTCCCTCCTCCCATACCAACTCCAGCATACCTCGTGCTGCCGTACAGCTCTCCACATCCCTGCACGCGGACACCGATATCTCAGATCCCCCCTGCAACAAAGCCCCCAGCCTTTCCTCACAGCCTATCCCAACAACGATCACGTCCCCGCTGCACCCCTCTCCTCCCGCCCCAGCATCCCGGCCCCGCACACCTTTGTGCCCCGGTGTGCCCTGTGTCAGACCCACACCCCTCCCCAGCGCTGCCGGCTCTCTGTCCCCGGACACCCCCCGCAGCTGCCTCGAAAGAGTCGTCCCATCCCCTCTCGGGACTCAGCCCCGAAGCCCCCCGTGCCGCACCCAGCGCCTCTCTCCACGCAGCAGCCCCGGCACACACCTCAGAGCCCGTCGCTCACAGCACACAGCTTCCAGCTCACCCCTCCGCACGCAGCAGCCCCGCGGGCTCCGCTACAGCACAGCCCCCTCCCCGCAGCCCCCGGGACAGCCGGAGCTCAGCATCGCGTGCACCTCTCCGCAGCCCCACACACCAAACCCCCCGCCCGCCCGCCCGCCGCGCATCCCCGCGCCGCCGCCCCGCCGCCGCACACCCCCAGCCCGCGGGCGGCGCTCTCCCCCCGGCCCCCAACTCTCAAACTTTGGGCGGGCGGCGGCCGTCGCCGGGGGGCGGCTGAAGAGGAGGTGGGGGGCTGGTTGGTGGTGATGGTGGCGGGGGGGGGAGGCAGTGGCCGAGCGCCGCCTCCCCTCACTCACCGCCGGCCGCTGGGGGAGGGGCGGGGGCCGCGGCCGGGCTCAGCCCCGGGCGGGAGGGGGCGGCGCGGCGTCTCCCCCCGGCGGCGGCGGGTCCTTCCCCCTCCCGCAAACACACACAGGCTCCATTGTCCGCCGGCGCCTCCCCCCCCTCCTCGCCGCACGCGTGGTACCGCCCATCGCAGCCCCTCTCTCCCGCTCCCCCCCCCCTCCCGGTCCCCTCTTTTCCCCACGCACCGCTTCTTCTCCCCCCACCACTCCCCCCCCGGCCCGCGCCCCGCTCCCTCCCGCCTCCCCCCTCCCGCCGCGTCCCGCAACCCGCGGAGAGCGATGGTACCGCCCGTCGCGCGCGCCCCGCCCCGGGAATGGTACCGTCCCCGACTCACTCCGGCGGCGGGACCGCCTCTTACTCCCCGTTCCGGGCAGTGGTCTCGCCCGGCCTCCCGGCCCGCCCTTCCCCAGCGAGGGGGCGGGGACTGCGCCCCTTCCCCCCCTCCCCTGTCCCCCCGCACGCGCTCCCCTCCCGCCTTCGCCCGCACGGTGGTAGCAGCCGGGCTCTTAAAGGGACAGGCGCGGCGCCCCCCGCGCCTGCAAGGAGCGCCGCCCCGACCTCCTGCTGGCCGCGCCCCCTCTCTTAGCATAGCCCCGCCCCCGCCCGCGGTGACCCCGCCCCTCCGCCCCTTTTAAAGAGACGGCGCGCCCACCGCGGGCTGCCCGCCGTCTAACGGCCCCCCATCGGACACGGCCGTCAGGGAACCGCACGCCGTCGGGCCGCTGAAGCCGGGCGTAAAAATTCCTTTCCATGCGCTTCTGAAGAGAGCCGAGAGCTTCTTCTGGTGAAGACAGCATCAGGCCGGGCAGCAGCCGGCAGCTGAGCAGAGAAAGCAGGCAGCAAATGGCAAAGGGACACAATCTATCGGCATGCAGATGTGCCACGGCGTCCTGTCCTGAACACGTGTCCCATGTTTGGGGATTGAATGCTGGTGTGGTTGGAGTCTAGCTAACACTGAGGAGTTTTGAAGGTTTGCAGTGGCCTCCCATCCTTCTCAGCCACTGACTTATTTGGTGAAAAAAGCACTTTCAGCATCCACCAACCTTCACCCCCCACAACACATCCTTAAAATGGGCAATCCTGTGGGCTACAAGCAAGATCTTTCCATCCCGCAGCTGACAGAGGTGCACAGAACCGCTGCAGTCTCAGTGGGGAAAGCAGGCAGCTGGTTTTTGCATATCCGCAATGCTTGAATAACCTGTTTTGCCAAACACCACCAGAAGCGAACAGAAATGCAGTGGGTTCTCCCTCTATCCTCAGATGACCTGCAATGCCAGGTCCCTTTCCCACCTCTAGCACCATCCCAGAAGGCGGCCCTGGCATCACAGGGTGCCGTTCTTGGAGATGAAACCATCTCTGTCCTTGTTCCCCAGGTGCCTTTTCCTCCTCTCCAGTCCCTGCCCATCCCTTCGCAAAACTAAAAGCAAGACCTCTTTACAACCTCCTGAACACTGCAACAGTAGCTAACTCAAACCTGGTAAGCTATTAGATATTCTTCCTCGAGGTGGATACTTCTTAGCAGCAGCCTTCAACCCTTCCAATTTGCAGACCCTGGATAGCCCTTTGACTTCTGGGTTACATTTTCCACACAAGTCTGTTCCCAGCATCCCTGACCCCAAGGTGGCACTCCCAGTCCCCAGCCAGCCTTGCCAACCCACCCACCATTGCTAGCCCTAGGGGAGCCTTCCGGTTGAGATCAATAACACTGTGGAAACATACTGGTGAAACCAAACTGCTCAGCTCCACTTAAAACTACCACCTCTGCTGCCATTGGCTCAGCTCACTGACGCACAAGCCTTACCTACTCTTACACCGATACAGGCCTTCATTTTTGGTAACACCCACATTTTCTCCTCTCCCTTGCACTTCCCACTCTAGAAGTGGCTCAGCAAACGGAGAGGCTTCACAGAATGCCCAGGTCAAGGCAGCAAAACACAGTGTATGGATCACATACACCCATGGTGCTGCAGGCCCAAGAGCCAGCCCTGCCCTCACTGATATCACGCACCCACTGTGGTTTGTTGAAGGGGAACCTTTGCTTAAGCGGGGTGGTGAAGGCTGGGATTCTCCTAAGGAGACTAAAGAAGCCAGGCACCCAGTCTAATTTTTCTGAAGGAGATCCTACTCTGTGCTTCAGTCTTGACAAATACAACAGCAGCGGCAAGCACGAGGTGTTAGCAGGCTGCTGTTCTTGTTCTCATCCCTCCTCTGGCCAAGTACTTTGCTGTCTTCTCCCTGGAGGAGCTACAGGGGGAAAGGGAGCATAAAATGCTCCGAGCACACATATGCTGTGGTTCCTCTGGCTCCCCTCCCATCCCCCCTAACCCCATCCCCCCGCATTTCAAACAGTTATAAATGACTGTGCAACTCTGCAGGCAGCGGTCTCAAATAACCACACCAAGCCTCTCCCCTCCAACGGCTTTATGTCTCTTCCTTCCTCTCTTTGGGGCTCCGGATAGCAACTATCAAGGTGTTCTGCTTCACCCTCAAGAGTTAAGTTGATGCTGCACCCGCCGCCTTTGGGAATTTGCCACAGCAAACCGTCACAAGTGGTGAATTCCCAAGGCAGGGATTCTCAGCTGAGAGTCCCCTGGTGCCGTCCTCGAAGGGTTTTACCATGGGAACTAACAACAAGAGGCTCCCAAATGACATTCACTGTGACAACAGGCTGTACAACAGGGAAGTCAAGCCCCAGACCATGGAATTGCCCTGGCCAATTTGCAGAGCATCACCTTATCACGAGGCTTGCCTTCCTTTCGCCACGCTTGTAACAGCAGCACCAGAGAAGGCGGCTGCCCTGGCTCTGCAGAGTGCTCCAGCAGATCCAAGAACACCTTGGAAACAGTGCAGCTCACCATCCTAGGTACACTCTCCTCACAGCTCCCTGGCACCAGCAGTGTCAGAAGACCAGCTTTTCAACTCAGAAGCAGGTTCCTCTTCCATCAGTGTGAACCAAGCCTAAGGAAAGTTGCTACAGGAGCTCCAGTTCTGCAGAACAGATTAGACGAGATAGGCCAGCCAGCAGAATGCATTTGCATTACACTTGCTATAGATGCCGGCACACCCCAATTCCAGCTTTTATGCTCATTAGGGGCCTGGCCCTGCAAATTTTACGTGTGTGAGTAGAGTCCCACTGAAATACAATGGAGCTACTCATGCAAATAATATTAAGAGTGTGTAGGGCTGTGGCTCCATTTCACTACTCCATCTGCAGCAGACATAGAGGATCCTTCCACCCTCTCTTTCACACAGTTACTGCCATTCATTGGTGCCAGTCAAACAGTTTATGTAGCCACACTCACAGGTGAACCATTTAAACAATCCAACTTCTCTTTGAAAGCCTTACTAACAAGAAAACCCCTTAATGCCAGACCAGCTCCAATGCAGATTTCATCCCAACAAGTGGCTGAACTGGCACAACTGGAGGAGGTGGAAACATCTGAAGAAGAGGAATTTTTGAAAATGAGATTGAGGGCAGGAGAAATGGCAACATGGAGCCTTAGCATGTGGAAGTTGGAGGCATGACTCTCATCTGAAGTTACATCCTGCTGATCATCCACTCTCTGAAGCTAAACCAGCTCTAACCACACAACTATTTCACGTGAAAGAAACATCACCTCAGTGAAACAGCAGATTGTG